CCCCAAAACCCCAAAACCCCAAAACCCCAAAACCCCAAAACCCCGAGAAGGTTAAACTAATTGATTCAATAATATTTACTCATAATTTACGTACTAATATGGATAGACAAGATACATTCTCTCGCAAAGCAGCACTCATGGCTCTTTCTGAAAATCTCAAATCTGCTGAGACCATTGACTGTATAGTAGCTGGAATTATAATTTCAAAAGATTACAGTAAAACTTTAAGTGTCCTGGAGTGAATTTCAAACTGCCGCAAGTATGCTGAAAAATATTCACTCAAAGATGAGGGCAAGCTCCTCCTCTACAGAGACAAAATTATGGAAATGAGAAATAAATCTGAGGCTATGAACAGGGCGAAGAACTGATTTGAAGGTTCCAAAGATACTAGCCAACTTCCTGAAAAATAAACGGGAAATGAAAGCCAAAGAAAAACAGATTGAAGAAGCCCAAGCTAGTGTACAGAAGGAGATGGTGGCCAGTAGCTTCCAGACCTCTCGTCCAGAGAAAGGCAGAGTACAAGCTAAAGACTGAATAGTTTTAGATTCAAGCTCGGAAGAAGAGAATGGCGAACCAAAATCCCTAGTAATCCCTAGAAAGCAGAGGCTTGATTCAAATGGAAAAGTTATTACTGAGAACGACATAAAACTAGAGAATGTTGAAAAGAAAATGAATGATACTTCAGAGAAAGAGATGAATGGAAATGAAGGCGTCAATCCAGAAAAGAAGTCTAGCCAAGAAATTGATTCGGAAACTGCAAAAATAGAAGAAAAGGAACCTGAATCAAACCAATCTCAACAGTCAAATCAAGATAGTTCAGCTCAGGAAGAGAACTCAAATAAAGAGAAAGATGACAAAGAAAGAGTGGATGGTGAGGAAAAGAAAGATAATGAAGAGTCTAAAGAAGAGCATGAAGAAGCTAAATCAGAGCAATCTTTACCAGAAAATGTCATCCCCCTAAAGCAAGTTCTTAATCCACAAATAAACACTCCTACTGCACCAGGGATGAAGAAAGTCAAGAGAAAAGAAAGAAAAGTAAGGCCTAAGAAACCTAAACCAGAGAAAAAGCCTAGGAAGAAAACCAGTGAACAAGTTCAGTCAAAAACTGAACTTTGGAGCTGGGAAAAACTTCTCAGTCAGAAGGACAAATTTAAGAAGACTTCCATAAATTCTCTTCCAAGCCTTGAAGGGTTCAATACTTGTAAAATATGCCATAGCAATATTCAAAACGACTCTTGTATTGTAAATACAATCTGAATGCATATTTATCATCTGAAGTGACTCATAATCCAATGTCAGAGATATCTTGCTAAGTCGCAATATCCTGAAGATTGCCCTGCTAGGCTGTGTAATAAGAGACTTGGACCTCAAGAAATCACCAAGCATCTTGAATCGAACGACAGAATCAGATATGAAGCATTTTCTCTCCTCAGAAGTGGCCAAATGAACCGTAAGCACCTAATCTGGTGCTACAACTGCCGTCTAATCTACGCTCAGCCACACAGCAGGTCCAAAGAAGCCAACGAAGATTCCAAAGAATCTGACCCCCACTCAAAATCCATTCAAAATCTAAAATGCCCAAAATGCTCAGGAGTTAGCTATGGCTTCCAAGACGCTCTCAAATTTCTCGAAATCGCCGGTAAGAAAAACAAAGTAACTGATGAACAATACAACGAGCGTAAGACCTTGGATAAGTCCTTTTTGGCTGACTGCAGAAAGGTAGTGCTCAGGTGCACTAAGTGCTGGAAGAGAACCAAGAGAATCCCTAATTACAATTACCAACTGTGTAATTGTAAGAAGGAAGAACATGTTATTGACCTTGAAGAATAAATTTTCAGTTGTATTAGTCCAGGCTGGGGTTTTGGGGTTTTGGGGTTTTGGGGTTTTGGGG